AAATCTCTATCTCCTGGTAAAGCTCGTTCTTTGCAGTTTGAATTTGTTTGTTTAGTTGGTTTTCAAAATATACTTTCATTGCTTGGACTTGCTGTCTCATGTCTTCTCTAATATTCCATTCCATCTGAGTTAGGTATGCCTTGAGTTCTTTCCCTGTCCATGTTTCCGATGCTTCTAGGTCCTCCTGTAGATTTAAGTTGTCCTGCATTGTTTGTAATCCTTTTTTTCCCTTGTTTTTTTTCATGTTGTTCACATTACTTTCCAGCTCTGTTTGACTGCTATGTAAGTGCTTTCTCCTATAAATTTGTTTTGACTTTGTATAGCTCTGTTGTCTCTCCTTTGTGGTGGGAGATTATGCCTAGAAATTTTGGGCTTTATTGTACTTTAAAGCTGATTCATTCAATTCATAAAAGTCTTCCAGGTTCTGTATGCATATAGCGATTTGTTGTTTGTTCTTAGGACTTTATGTTTAGGTTAGGTGCTATGATGGTACGAGGGTTAGTATGTCTTGGCTACTTTAGAAGATTGCTCTACTGAAGGGGGATACTAACAGGCGATTGGATCAGGATGTTGGTAGTAGCTAGGTATTTAGGAGCCCTATTTGCATTTAGACAATTACACGTAATGAAAGACGTAGTGCTTGGGATGAAAGTTGGGGGGTAGGGGAAGGAAAGTGCTCTTAAAAAGAAAGAAGGAGAGAGAGATAGATAGATTAGAGGACAATGAAAAGAACAATAAAACTTGAAACGAGAAAGAAAGAAAGAAGGAAAAGGGGAGAAAGGAACAGAGAGAGAAGAAGAAAAAAAAATTGAAGTCTAAGAGATCCATTTTCTTCTCTTCCAGTAGGTGGAGCTGTGCCCTCCGAGCAGAGCTTCTGCCCTCTACGTGCCGATAGCAATCCCTGTAAGGCAGCTCCTGGGAGTCTCTCAGTCTTGTCAGTCCAGAGCCGTTTCACTTCTCTGGCCCTTCCCTCCCTTCCTCCTGTCAGCCAGCCAGCCAGATTCTGTTCACCAGAAGCGGTTCCCCAGAGATCTAGTTACACTTGCAGCCCCACCGCGTGTCCCATTTAAGCCCCAGTGCTGTGGTAAACTGGCGGCTAAGACCTTGGGAGTTGCCGCTGGTGATATGGGATCTCTCTGGGGGTTGGGGTTGGAAATTCCCTCTGCTTCCCTACAGACACGCCCCTGGAGAGATCCCTGAGGTTTCCTGGCTGATTGTATCTGGATGGGGTGGGAGTCACACACCTGCTAAAGTGGATTCTGCTGGGAAGGAATTCCGTCATCCAAACTCCGATGACGTCACCTCTCTGCTATGGCGGGCCCCAGGCTCCTTGCTGGAGTGTCGGAAGGGAGGGGTGGGACTGGTCCGTCCTTGGTTGGCCTCAGCTCCCAGTTCACTATTTCATGAAGGCTTGGCTAAAGACCTCTTCCTGCCAAGCTGCGTCTCAGAGGCTAGCCACCCAGTCACATTGGCTGTGGGCACGGCGCGCGGACAGCAGCTGGCGGATCTGGACCTCTGCATCTCGTGGTGGGGATTCACTCGTCTGGGGCAAACTGTCACTTCCAAAAATTCTAGTAGCTCCCGGCCGGTCTCTCTTCAGTGGAATTTTGCTAGGATATTCTTCGCTGGTAGGATCTAAGCATATCTATGCATCTTTCTGACCCCATCACTGAGGGGGTATTGAAAGCGCTGCCTCTCCGCCCGCCACCATGTTGGATCTCCCATTTATTTTCTTATAAGTAGCAGAAATACTCTTATCATTTTATTTGAGTCATGTGCTTCATTTCTTTTTTTATTTAATTGATTTTATTTTTTTTAAATACATGACAATGGAATGCATTACACTTCTTATTACACATATAGAGCACAATTTTTCATATCATACCTCCAATTCGTGTCTTCATACATGTACTTTGGATAATGATGTCTATCATATTCCACCATCCTTGCTAACCCCCTGCTCCCTCTCTTCTCCTCCCACCCCTCTGTCCTATCTAGAGTTCCTCTATTTCTCTCATGCTCCCCCTCCCTACCCCACTGTGAGTCAGCCTCCTTATATCAGAGAAAACATTTGGCATTTGTTTTTTTTTTTTGCATAGGCTAACTTCACTAGCATGATCTTCTCCAACTCCATCCATTTACCTACAAATGCCATGATTTTATTCTCTTTTATTGCTGATTAAAATTCCACTGTGTATTCGTGCCACATTTTTTTTATCCATTCATCTACTGAAGAGCATCTCAGTTGGCTCCACAGTTTAGCTATTGTGAATTGTGCTGCTATAAACATTGATGTGGCTCTGTCCCTGTAGTCTGCTGATTTTAAGTCCTTTGGATATAGTCCGAGGAGAGAGATAGCTGGGTCAAATAGTGGTTCCATTCCCAGATTTCCAAGGAATCTGCATACTGCTTTCCATATTGGCTGTACCAATTTGCAGTCCCACCAGGAATGTTTAAGTGTACCTTTTCCCCACATCCTCGTCAACACTTATTGTTTTTTTTTTTTGGGGGGGGGTGCTTAGCTTTTTGAGTTCTTTATATACTCTAGAGATTAATGCTCTACCTGATGTGTGAGGGGTAAAAGTTTGCTCCCAGGATGTAGGATCTCTATTCACCTCACAGATTGTTTCTTTTGCTGAGAAAAAACTTTTTAGTTTGATTCCATTCCATTTATTGATTCTTGGTTTTAATTCTTGTTCTATAGGAGTCTCATTAAGGAAATTGAGGCCTAAAATGCCACATGATGAAGATTAGGGCCTACTTTTTTCTTCTATTAGATGCAGAGTCTCTAGTTTAATTCCTAGGTCCTTGATCCATTTTGATTCTTTTTAAGCTACAAATAAAGGCTTTTTGTTTTACTAGACTTAGGTATATCTCTCTTATTTCTTATAATTAGTGGTATTTTGGTTAATATTTTTTCATTTGCATATCAAACTCTTGGTCTTACTTCATTTCAAATGTAAATACTTAAAGATTCCTTTTTTGTATTATTATAATAATTCTCATTGTGTTATGAATGTTCAGTTTTTGGTTTTTTATTTTGATACTCTGCTTTATTTTCACATAAATAAAACTTAGAAGATACTCTTGTCTCAAATACCACAGTGACAGACACTCTGAATATGTTTCCTCCAGATAACCAAGATTTTCTTTTTAAAATTAGAGAGTATATCCTTTTGAGTTAAGTGGTGGCTCTTGCTCAGGGCAAACAGTAATTCTGATTTTTTCCCCCAATTTCACTGAACTTCTGGTTTAACTCACTTGTGATGACTTGTACATTATTTTTTTTTCCCATTACAACTTGTCTTGTGTCATCATTTCCTCATGTAAGTTAGCCTTGAATAAACAGATACCTCCTCTCTAGCATAAGCTTTCATATCTGGTCATGGAGATAAATTTTGCAGATGTGCAAGTGGAAGATTAATTTGCTTGTTTAGGTTTGTCACATTTCTTTTCTTTCAGGACTTTTTTTTGTAAAAAAATCTATTTTTAAATAAATTAAAAAGAAAATTTAAAAATGGACAAAGAAAAATCATAAAATAATTACAATTTAACTGTTAAAACTCCCAACATGTGCTTAGGTACTCCTAAATCACTGAAGTCTCATGAAGAAATGAAATATAATTTATTTTAGGCTAAAATAGGAGAAAAACATGAACAAAGAAATTTAACATTGCCCCTGTTTGTTAGAACTAAACTTAACTCATATGTGTTAAAATTACCTAAGATGAATTAGGTATTTTTTAATATTACAGAGGCTTTCTCAGGTAAAAAGATTTTATCTCATTATATCTTAAATACTGAGCCCTTATAGTACATTTGTTTTTTCTAAAGATCAGTAACAAGGGTAGGTAAACTTTAAATGCCAAAATCAATAAACATCAATCAGAAATAAAAACAAAGTCTCAAATTTTAGTTCAAATTATGTACTATGATAGTGTCACACATATACAGTAAATGTGTAAAAAAATTTAATAATGCTTACAATTTTTTAATAATACCTAGTACATTGAAATGAAACAAGTAATAAAGTTGCTGTTTATACCTGAACACTGAAGGTCTCATTCTAGAAGTATGACTCTCTTAATCAGCAGTTAGGTTGATTTTGTGACTCTTTACTTTCCCTCAAAATAGACACAGAAGCCAATTGGAGACCACAAGACAGAATTAAATCTTTTACCTTGGTATTAGTGACTGGCAATATGGAATTACAAATTTTGAGTCAGTAGAAATGATAATCTTTAAGATCAAATCCAACTCAGTGGCCATCTCCATTACATATGTTCATAATTTCAACTACTTGATCATAAGACTCAAATTTGGTCTTAATGTTAAACCACAATGCAAAGAAAAGAGTGCTGACTCCAATTTTAAATCAAATTAAAGCAAGCTTGTAATTCTGACAGACTGTCTCTCCCGAAAAACCCTTGGCTAGAGAACAGTACCCCAGCTCTCTAGGAGCATGGTTTTAAAGCACAAAAATTTTCAAAAGGGGGGGGGTGTCTTGAGAGCTTATAGATAACAGGATTTTGACAAGCATAATACAGACACAGATAGTAGGCTAATGATCTAAATGGCTCAACATTTAAATAAATTTAGATCCCAACACCAGAATTTATGAGGTGCCATTGAGGTTTCAGAGAGGTTTGTTATCTGGTCAGGGAAAATCAGAATTTATGAGGCACCACTAAAGTTTCAGAGAGGGTTGTTTTCTGGTCAGGGAAAGCCTGGCATGGATGAAGTCAAGGCATGGGTAGCCATCCCAAGCAAGTTTACAAATTGCAGTAATTTACAGTAAAACAGAAATTAACTCTTCATGACTTTGTGATGAGATGGCTCCCAAACTTAACATGGAATTAGTCTGGGTTCATCATTCCCCCCTTGTCTTAAGGGTCCCTTTCAAATCTTTGATAGGTAGAGGAAAAGCTCTGAAGGAATTTTAATATCTCAGGTAATAGTCCCCAACTTCCTGGAGTCACCCAAAACTGGCTTTATCTGACCTGACTCGATTTACCTATCTATATTGACTATCTATTTCTGGCTTCATTCTTGTAAGAAAAAGGGGCGACGATCGTTCTGGCTTCTTCAGAGCTGAGAGGGGGTGATGTGGGTAGGGGGCAGCTTTGGAGTTCTGGTCAGATTGAAGTCTGGTTGGGGAAGAATAGGTTGTAAAGTCCTGTGCCGATGAGTGCTTCTATGAAAGAGAAACAAAAAACATGAGTACTGAACAAATATTGCTGCCTCTGGAACATGTCAATGAATATCATGAAGATGACACAAAATTAATATTTTCTCACCAGTAGGTGTGAAGATTGAGAATCTGTCCCCATAATAAGGCCAGAGTGGACAAGGCCTTTATATAGAAATGTAAATCTTTAACATCTTTAGAGTTATCAGGAATGTAAACACAACATTTAACTTTTAATGTTGCAGATGTCCATCCCCAGGAGGTGTAGTTAAGCTACTCAATGTTATCTGATCTTATAAATTTTTGCTGGTATGACCTCCCTGTCTAGTATAGAACCCTTTGTTTCTGTTACTTAGGGCTTGATAATCATACTAGCAAATAATCATACTTGATAATCATACATCAAAGCTACCTGTGTAGATTAGGAATATCTGTAAGCCTTAAATTAACTAAAAACTTCTGACTCTGGCAGTCCCTCTTGATAGTTTCTTTTGATAGTTATCAGGCATTCCTGCCTAATAATCTCTCTTTGTAGCCTACAGTCTTACTTATTTTGGGGGCTAACATAGGTGTTATATTATATAATAAATATATCTTAAGTTATATTTAGGTATTATTATTTATCTTTAAATGCCCAGGAGGGCTATGTTTGGTTTTAACTGTTTTTGCTCAGTGTTTAAGGTGATACAAGTCAAACTGCCTTTTTTTTTTTTCCTATCTATTATTAAGAGTCAGTTGAGTTTCCATGGGAGTCACTCTTGGGGGAACCTGAGAGCAATTTCTTAGTTCTTTTAGTGCCATTTGGGCTAGGCTTGGTCCAAGTCTTGCTGGCCATGTGGCTTCCCTTAGAAGCACCAGGGATGTTTCCCTTTTCCAATAGCCCTCTTCTTTGTGGTGAGTGCATTGATTGGCTTTCTGTTCTCGGTGGTCTCATTAATCTCCCTGATGGAGAGGTTATGTGGCTCAGAGTTGAAAAGCTCTTTAGAGAAGTTCACTGTTCCCTGGGTTTAGACTGACTTGGAGGGCAAGAGCCAAATATTTGTTCTTGGTCCCTTTTAATTTAATTTTAATTTTTAAGTCTTGATCTTAAATATCTAGCAAAGTCAGTCTCACCAGTCTTAAATTAAGAGTACTGAACTTTAACTTTAATATTTATAACCTCACATTAATTGGGGTCTGTGCTATCCTATCTGTCCATTAAGTGGTGGCTTGTTATCTTAAATTAACCCAGGTTGTGTGTTCTTGAAGCAATTCTTATGTAAAACATTAACAGGCAACATTTAGACAGTTTATAAAGAAAATACAAAATAAAATTAACATATTTAATTTGTCTAATAACTACCTTGAACTTTGAGTTATATTATAACCCCTATTTGAGATCCTCTTAATCTTAACAAAAATCAATCTTTTGAATACAACTTTAAATGAACTAAAATCTGACCTGTTGTGGAGTCCTTCTGACATATAGTAAGATGGGAGGAAGAGCCTTATCTAAGATAAGGTGGGGCTCTTTATAAATCTTTCTAAATCTTAAGTATTCTAGTTCTGAAGTCGATTTTTGTTTCTTAAAAATTATTTCATAAAGTTTACATATATAGTTGCTTGAGGTCACATGGATATTAGCTAACAATATGATATTACATTTAAAACATGAACTACAGAAAGGCTGAGAGTTTTTTAGCATTTTGTGAAAAAGTTGCAAAATGTGTGTGTTCTACAATATTAATCTTTACATAGATTAGGCTCTCATTAACTTAAAAATACATTTAAATTGTACCCCAGTGTAAAAAGTAACAAAACTTTAGATCTTATTGATAACAGGTCCAGTTATAGACCATTAAATGGTATAAATCTCTAATAAATATCCAATAAATTTATCATCCTTATAAGCCCAAAATTACCATACAACTTTAGTTTGAAGAACACCAGTTTGATATAATGTTCTTTTAAAGCTTCTACCTTAAAGACTTGTGGAACATACTTAATATACAATAATAGTAATAGCACCATAATTACATTGATATTTTTATATGAATTAAGTTTAGCTCTTAAGGAAATAACATAATATTTTAAAATAACAGTTGTTTTTTTAACCATAATTGTACAATCCTTAATTCCTTTAAGATTACTGCTCAAAAAAAACAAGACTTAATAAACACAATGTTATGGTAAAATCAATGTATTAAGAAATCTTTGTTTTTTTTAACATATAGATTAAACTTTGATTTATATCAGTATATGAACATTTGACCTTAAGGAAAAAATTTAAATATATATATATATATTTCCAACTGATATAGAACTTTTATAATATGAAACAATCCTTGTAAATTTTTGAATTTAGACAAATTACTTCATTTTAATAAAAAGAAATACTCTATGTTTTTTACATTACTCTTAATTGGAGCAGTTGAAATTTTTGGGCCTTTGCATATAAAAATCTTCCATAAACCTTTGTATATAGAATTAAATCTGTTCACCATTTATTAAAAACACAATGTTTAAGTATATAGAATTTCGTCTGTTAGAACATTAAATTTTTAGTAAAACCTTTTTTTTAGTGATTACAAAGCAACTTTAACCCCCCCTTTTTTTTCATTTACTAACTTAGAAAAGCATCAATAATGTTACCCAATGGAATTTAAGGAATTAAGTGTACTTGATGGTATATTTAACAGTTAGCATTTTAACCTTGTAAATTAATCAGATGTTTAACAAACAAAATTGCTTATAAATATGAGTAATCCCATGTCAATTCTACTTTACGTATTTTACCAGAATATCAGACAAATATATTGAACAGTATTAGTCATTTCTTCCTTGTTGAAGAAATTTCTAGAACCAAGGGATATTAGACATCAACATTTTATTAGTTCTTTGATCACCTAGAGAGACTTGAGAGTTAAGTTTAATTTTAAAGACATATTTATTTTCACCTGTTTACCCAATTTAAATTAAACTGTTTTAAAACATGTGAATTAAAGGTATTTGGATCCTTTTAAAAATTTTATGAGCGCTCCTTATATATCTGCCAATTTTTTTGTGTCATGTACATGATATATGGACATATGAACATATAGACATACAACACATAACACAAGTGTGCACACATAACACAATAGCAAAGGCCTTGTAGCTTTTTGCAGATGAAAAATCTCTATTGTAATGTTTAAAAACTCCATAGTTAGATTTAAAAAAAGGACTGATTGGAAAAACATTAACCTAAGTCTGTAGAATCAAAATCATTAGCTCAAAAAATACAGAATCTAAGAAAAAGCAAGAGTCTTAGAAAAAATGACCAGCCAGTAATTATTAAAGTATCATAAAATTAACTTTTTGGTTTAGTCTAATATAGGTTTAGGTAAAGGACACTTTTACTTTTTTTTCCCCTAGAGTCTGAGACTGGTCTCCTACTATGCTTCCATTTGCATTTCAATGTAACTCCTGGCTTAGGTCAGGAAGGAGCTAGAGAAAACTGCTGTTCTGAGCAGAACATGCCTAAAGCATTTTAAACATTTTTTTTTTCCTGTCAGTAATTGAACAGGTTTTGATGTCTAAAATTATGATACCTTACTTTCTATTACCTTTGAAAACAAAGCTACGATGTTAAGTTCCTTACAAAGATAAGCCATTTGCTGTTGAGCAGGTCCATTTTCTTGTGTAGTCATTTCTAGGTTTTGTCTTCCCCTCTCAGTGACAAACAGGATAAATCTTGCTCCAAAGCCTGTTCGTAACTCAGGGGGAGTAAAACTTTTGGTAATAGGCTGTTTAGATATTTTTAAGAGGTCTAACGTAAGAGGTGAGAACAGAAAACCTGGCAATTGTATTCAAGGGGAAATTGACACCTGGGCCCCTACAGAGAAGAAGAAGAAGCATACCTGGGGCCTTTGAGGCTAGAGTTTGGCTAAGGTAACCTCCACACATCTAAGGCAGAGCAGAACTTGGGACATTGTGTACTCATGTCAATTGCTTTCTGGGCCCTTACAGAAAAGTAGAAAATGGCTTCAGCAGGCAGAGCCCAACATTCCTGCCCTGTATTGAATGGTGATTGAGAGCTCCCTAGGCTGGGAAACCTTTCACCTGAGTTTTGAAGAGTTGCAGCTGCATTAGCTGCATTTAAGTAGCTGTTGGGTGCTCTTATCATTCTCCAGAAAGAAAGAAAGCAGCACAAGTATGGGGGGAAATGCTCCTGAGAGTCCTAGTGTGCTCATACATTACTGGCAGCACCTTTTGTCTTCAACTCAGTTTTTGACTATTAAGACTCCTTATTAATTATTTTATCTCTGACAAACCAACTTTTAACTGCAAGATTGTACAAAGCTTTAAAAACCCATTTAGATACCAGATTGTTTCAGTAGAACATCATTTTTTAGACACATTTACATCTATAGGTGGCCCATTCAGCCAAGATCATTCCCAAGAAGCAATTTATAATATCAACACATTATTGCCCATGTCTTAAAGGGCCAGAAACAGATACAAACAAAGACACAAAGACAGAGAAGATCTCCAAACTATGGCCAACAGACAGGAACTTTTAAAATAGACCAGATAAGGAAAACATCTCCCCAAGTTTCCAATTCCCATGTAACCATGACTCCTACACTAATTGCACCATAGATATCCCCATGAGTGGACCAGATGCTCCCACAAAAGTGGGAACCAGAAGTGTAAAATCAAGGGTCTTGCCATGGTGACTTTACTGTATTCAGTTTCCTTTAAAAAAAAAAAATTAGACAGAGATGGAGCAATCCTTCCAGTGCAGGGAAGGAAAGCAGGAGTTCCCTGAAGCAAAAGGGGCTTTCGGCAGCTTCTGGGAGTCCTTCAGTCCCTCCCTTTATATACAGAAATAGCTCCTCTGGTTCGGTCTGACAACAGGCACACACTCCCATATTTCCTAATTTTCCAGTAGTCAGGTCTCAAAAAGTTCATCTTACATCCTCAGCATGGAAGTACACTTGCTTGGAGTGCTAGGCTTTCCCAAGAAAGTGGAACCGGAGCACTTC